GCAGAATAGTGATTATTCTGCAAGCTAGTTCTATCAGTAAATTCACAGGGAAGAACACAAGATTAACGTCAAAAAAATACAGAGAAAACGTCTCTAAAGTTTAGAGAATTTTATTATATCACGCAATGATCAAAATAAGTCCACAAACCGGACTTTATAGCCGAAATTTGAATTTTACCAAAAATGGCAAAAATTAACTTAAAATAGCAATTCAAAAGGGAAAACAGTTGAATTTGAGAATGAAAATAGCACACACCGAGCACAGGTGGATGGCCACGACGTGCGCGCCAAACGAGCTTTTTGGATTGTGGTCATGATCGCGATGCTGATAACCGTAGCCAAAGTTATGGCCAAATTACCGAAACACGACTTAATTGCCAAAGTTGCGCGATCACTTGTCATCCTTGCCCCGATTTGCCAACTCGTAATACCTTAGAGCCATTAACGTGTTATCTGACAACTCAGCATCTGATTCGGACCCTCCTGCATCAGATTGGCAGTTGAAAATGTAGACATTTTAAATTCTATTTGAATCTATTGGGAAATCTATGTTTAGAATATGTATAATCCTCCAACTTCACGTCTGTTTTTGCATCTTTCGTACTTTTGCTTTGTGTTATGCTCAGTTGAGCCACACACCTAGAGACTGACAATTAGTTTTGTAAAAAGAAATATTTTAGTTAAGTTAATGTCAAAATATATATACTTTTTGAAAATCCTCCTTATCACCAGCAAAACCAATATGTTGCTAATCATTCATCTGGTACCATTTTTGTCCATTAGCTACAACAAAACCCGTTGCTATTGTTGTTGCAGATCGGTGGTTGACGCTGATAAAAAAATGATGATTCCATGCTTGTTTCCGTTTCTATTATCCATTCCAGAAGGCCATTTTTTGGTTGACACTCTCTAGTAGTTTAAATTTCTAGATCAAGAACTTCCATATGAAATGAAATAAGGCAAATATCTTGAATTCAACTCTTGTTGTCACCCATTTAATTAAATTGTAAGTGGGAAAAACTTTGATAGGAAACCACCTGCACATGAGGTTTGTACATATTAGAATAAAATATTTAAAATTATATATATGTAGTGATTGAGTGATGGATGTTTGTGTTGTAACTAAAGAGCAGTCCTCAGATTTAGGGTAGAAGAAGAAGATTTGAGTATGGTGAAATAGAGAAACTGTCCTACCACCAGATTTGAAAGTATTGGATTACTATTTTGACCTTACTCCTTCGTTAAATATAATCTCCCGTTCACATCTTTTAGAATAGCTATAACCTTTAATAGCTTACCTCGCCCCGCATTTCCTTGGAAGGTGCCAAACAAATGTTTATGTTTGCAGCCAATAGTCTTTCTTCGACATTGCATTGAAAGGATAGCTTATGCATTGAATGGGTTGACAGTATTGATTCGACTAAAGAGCCTGCTACATACTCAAAAAAATCAGTCAATTGCATGATTCTAGCAAATGACTGATTTCTATGCAAGAGGAGATCGAGTCATTTAATAAAAATAGCACATGAGACTTGATGAAATTATCCAAGAAAAATAAAGTTGTTCGTTGCAAGTAGGTATTTAAAAGAAACGAAGGTGCATCAAGAGTTGAAGTGGTCAGGTACAAGGCAAGATTGGTAACAAAGATTACATTCAGATACCAGGTATTGATACAAATGTGTTCTCAAAGTTGTATAGCTTAATTCGAGCTTTGATTGGGTTTATGGCTAAGGATGATATAGAGCTTGAACAGATAGAAGTCAAGACAACATTCTTGCATGGAGAACTTGAGAAGAACATTTACACGCAACAATTAGAGGTTTCATAGTTACCGGAAAGGATAACTATGTGTGTTTGTTGAAGAAGTCCTTGTATGGATTGAAGTAGTCAACGATACAGTGGTATAGAGGTTCATTTCGTTCATGAATGCTCATAACTTTATCAGAAGTAGTAATGATAGTTTTGTGTACCTCAGAATGGTTACATATCTACTATTTTATGTTGATAACATGATGATATAGTCAAAGATAAAGCAGATGTCAGAAAGGTGAAAGTTCAGCTCAGTAAGAAGTTTGAGATGAAAGATTTGGGTACATTAAGGAAGATTCTTGATATGGAGACCATCAGGAATAAGAAAGCTGACAGATTGTATTTGAGTCAAAAGGGGTACATTGAGAATGTACTTCACAGATTCAATATGCTGAATGCAAAGGCTGTCAGTATTCATTTCGTTGTCCACTTTAAATTATCATCTAACTTGTGTCCGCAGTCAAATAAAGATATTGATTACATGTCTCGGGTTCCTTATTCAAGTGTAGTGGGATCACTTATGTATGCCACAGTTTATATACGCCCAACTTTGGCACATGCAGTCAGTGCGATTAGTAGATACATGACAATTCCAGGCAAGGAATATTGGAAAGTAGTACAGTAGATATTTAGATAGTTGATGGGCTCTACGAATACTTGTTTGCATTTTGATAGGAATATAGATGGAGTCATTGAGTATGTGGATTCATATTATGCATGAGATCTTGATAAGAGGATGTCACTTACAGGATATTTGTTTACCATTGGAGGTTGGGCTATTAGTTGGAAGGCCACTTTGCACAATACAGTAGCATTGTTTACATTAGAGGCAGAGTACATGATTATTACAGAGGCATGTAAGAATGTTATATGGTTAATGGGCTTGATTAGTGAAATCAGCAAAGACTTGTAGATTTCTACAGTTTATTGTGATAGTCAGAGTGCTATCTTTCTGACAAAGAATCAAATATTTCATGAGATCACAAAGCACACTGATGTGAGATCACTTTGTGCTTAATGTAATTGCTTATAGTGATATTGTAGCAAGCAAGTTTATTACTAAGGAGAATTCTATTGATATGATGACAAAATTACTTCTCATTGCTAAGTTTGAGTATTGCTTGAACTTGGTATTTGTCATTAAATTAGCCCGTAGAAGCTGGTGTGGAAGAGATGGAGAAATTGTTTGATGAGATGATTGAAGAGTGTTGTGATTTCTTGTGTTGAAATTTGGTTCAAAGTGGAGAATTGTTGAAGTGTGACCCAAATTCTAGTTGGCTGAGTGCCTATCTCCCGTTCGAGCACTCAAACCAGGGAACGGCACCTAGTGGCGTCCGTCTGGCGCTCGAGCTGCGGTGTCGTCCAGCCCATACCCATTTCGCATTTTAACGCATTTTCAGTAATCTATATCAACTATAACTCTATTTCTAGGTTTTTAATATGGTACCCATGACCTGTAGAAGCAGCACAATATTGATACATCATTTTGAGAGCTTTAGATCTTCATTGAGAGTATTGAGATCTTGTATTAACAACATTCATTATTGATTATAATGAAATACTCCTCCTCTGCTTGTGATTTTTTTGGTCTTGGGTTTCCACTTAAAATCTTGATATTCTTGATTGTTTATCTTTAATTCAAATTGCTTATATCTTGCGCTTCATATATATAATGGGCATGGTTGGTTGATCAAAACCTTTCTCTCCGGTGGATAGGTATGGAGTGGACTTCCCTCATTTGAACTCCAAGGATAAATTAGAAGCTAATTTTACAAGTTTGGAAAATGAATTGCAAATATTCGAAAATACAGGGACCATCAATTTGTCCACGGTTCTCCCACAGAGGTACACAAAGAAGTAGTTCTTGTACTGCGATGACAATTTATAATCCAGCGAAGTAAATGTTGTTGCCCATCTTGCTTTACCAGCTAACCTCATATTTGAGAGGGCCCAAAATGAGATGAACCCGGTGGCTTAACTTCTTGACCCGAAGCGGTAGCTAGAAGGGGCGGAGGTGCCACACAAGGGTAGATGGAACGATGTATCTATTAAGGAATGAAATTTCTAGAACTGTCAAATCAAAGTGGGACCTCAATATCGGAAATCGGTTGATGACTTATGACTAATATTTTAGGAGGTTCCATCAAGTCTCATGAGTTGGCTACTACTTTTTTAGTCAAAACCAATATTTGTGACAAAATCCGAGCAAACATTCAGAGTCATGAATTGTATTCATTTGCTGACATTTCTGAGCAGCATATAGTCGTTGGCCTTAAAATATTATTCTCAATACGAAGAAAAAGGAGAAATGAAAAAAGCATTCATGTAAAGATTTCACAAAGGTGTCATTACAGTGTCATATTACAATGCCTCATGTACATAATGTCTCATCTGACAACTTCATACGTATTCGAGCCCCGGAAACAGCAATTTAATAGGGGTTTCAAAAGGCCAAGGCTCGTACGATTGTTATCAATATAACTAATAGGAATAATTTGGGTATAAATCATTATTTTCAAGCTGAACTATAAGGGGTAAGTACAGTATCACTAGAATTAAGGAGACTTCATCCATTCCATTTCTCAAATAAATTTTACAATTGTTTGAATAGTAATTTTTAGGATAATGAAGAAATTTAAGTCCACGTACAAAATATGTGAAAATGATTACGTAGAAAAAATAGTTTTCAAATAACGCTCATCAAACAGGGGTTTAATGTCAGTTGCAAAATTTCAGACATTTTTATAAATTTGTCAAGAAATTTTCACCCATATGCATGCAACCCAAATATTTAACTATGTTACTTAGAGAAATGAAGTGTAGCTTCTTTTCAAGTGTAGATTGTGTTTTCATTTTCGTTATTCATAAAGTATCTAATATCTAAAAAACCATGTTACTTATCAAGAGAGAGGCAAAGATTCAATCCCAAACTATAGGATTTTGTTGAACGAAGATTAGGTTGAATATTATTTAACCCCAAATGATCAAATATTAGTTGAATATTACTTACCAGAGAAAATTGGGACCTGTGAATATCAGTCCTCTAAATTCAAGAAAAGTGAAAACTGGAAGTGATAATAGGTGATTAGTTTATCATTTCCTACCTGCTGATGGGTTTTTACCATCTAAAAGTTTAATAATCTACTCCTTAAAAACTGAAAATGTCAAATGATGTTTGCATTAACTTTACCTTAGATTTGTCTCTTCTTCATGGCCTGTTTGTTGTTGTGTAACCAAACCTTGAACACCTCTCTCTTTACACCCACTTCATTGCAGAACTGCTGCACTTCTTGTTCATCTTGTTTCTGAATCCTCCACCCGAGTTTTACAGCCAATTCAAGCATTTTATCCTTCTGTTCTTGGTTGAATTTTGTTCTAAACCGCTTTTTGGACCCGGAAAATGATGGCTGCACCATTGCATGTCCGCCTTCGCTGGAATCATATATGTTTAGATCCTCACTAGATGAGTCAGCAGCAGCTCCACCGCTGTTTCCACCAAACGCCACCATCACTGGCGGCGTATGGGAGTACTTGTTATGCTGCGGCGGCATTGTGGGAGGAGATTGGCTTTGTAGAACTGGAATCCGGTGGCTATTGGTATGGCCTTGGACTTCTTTCCGGTGGAAACTCCGGTGGCAATCACAAGCAGCACACCTCAAGAATTCTGGGGTGCCCTCCTCTCCACTTGGCATGAATTCTCCACAACCATCCACGACATGACCTCCCATCTTTGCAGCATGATTTTTCAGGCATTCTCTATATCTAATTGCAGTGGAAGCTCCTGATTCCTGAACTTGTTGCTGTGGTGGCGGCGGCGGTGACTTTGAATTTGATGCGCCACCAATTAATCCACAAGGAGAAGTAACTGGATCTGGATCTGGAGCTGGAGTTGAGTCTTTCTGTACAAGTGGTAGTAGTAGAGGTGGAGGAGGAAGAGGACGGTGGTGATCTAGAGTTTGTATAGGGCTGAAAATAGCACTTCCGCGGCGCGTCGAAACAGTTGCATTTCCTCTTCTATCTGGTGGAGTGGAAACTATAGGAGCAAGAGGAAGCTTGACTGGTGATTCTTGATTGAGTTGTGAAGGATTATAACCCTTGAAATTTGGGATCCCTATATCCCTTTCTTGACCCCTTTTTTCCATAATTAAAATCTGCTTGCTAAACTCACTTTAATCAAACAAGATAATCCTCCTCTTAATCTTTCTTCCTAAACCATCTTGATCAAAAATTTTGATCTCAATTCCTCTGGTGTGAACTCCCTTTCTTTCCGTCTCTCAAAATATCTACCCTAATCACAGAACAATTCTTGATAATTAATCCACAAAGTAATCTTGAATTGGGCTTTATTTTCTTTTGACTAGGACTACTTTTGGGTGCTAACCCCACTACCCCATTTCACTAATTTTTAACCTTATTCCTAATATGTAAAATCAATAAAATGTTGAAATGAATATGTGTTAAGGATGTGACCACTTAATTGGGACTTCCAGTGCACTAGTAATTCTTATTTTCAGCAATTTTAAGTGAAAAAATTAATAATAATAACTTAACAGTACTGGACAAATTCTTTAATTTGAAGAAGTTAATACTGGACGAACGACTTGACTGAAGGAATGGGACCCCCTTGAGCAGCAGAAATAGTTAAAAATTACCTAATTACAGTAAACTGTGACAGTAGCAGAGCCAGATGATTTTGCGGGAAATGATGCGAAGACATAGAAAATGCAGCTGCTTTTAGCACTGATTCATGGATAATGGTGTCTTAATTTAGAACAAGATTAATTGCAGACTACATTTTGTTGACAATTCTTATATATCAAAAATCTTATCATTTATTAGAAATGTATTTTTAAAATTAATGTACCCAAGTTTGCCAAACACATTGAAATGTAAATCAGAGTGAACATATACAAGTTTGCGTCTCCCCCATGTCCCAACAGCCATACAAGATTCTTTTATTTTAACCATGGCAAGCAAATTTCAGTCATCCAAGAGAAGGGATGCAAATGCGTATGGTACAGAAAGTGAATCTGGAAAACAACTGACATGTCCATGTTGGTTCTTTTCCATAGCCTGCACTATTGTCTGGTTTTTCATTATTGTGATTTACATATTTCTTCTCTCCATCTATAATACACCAAAACCCTAAAAACTGAGAGGAGGGGGGAGGGGGGGGGGGGGNGGGGGGGGGGGGGGGGGGGTGATGGGACGTAAACCTGGAATCTTCCTGCAAATGATCTGAAACCTGTTGTTTGCTTTAAGGAATCCAACGTAAGATTACAATTAAATTCTTGTTAAAAGCAATTAGAAAGGCTACTAACCAACGGATCAGGGTTCTTAGGCAGTAACTCGATTGTAATTAACAACGAGAGAGAGGACACTTTTGGTTTGTGGGTGGTGGATTAAAGTGAAAACGAAGGTCCACCGCACAGTATTTTGGTTCCGGTTAACGCGTGTGTCCTTCTTTATTTACCCTACCCTACTCACTCCATCCCCATCTCTAAAAACCAGTTATAGTGCACCTGGTGCAAATTCTCTGTAGACTCCATATGTGGTTCTAACAGCTGTCCTTTATCTTTACCGATTCTTTACTGGCAATGATAAATAGGCACTTTGCACGTCTTTGCGTCATTGTACTATTATGCTGAACCTATGGTTAAATTACGAGTTAATTATATAGATGTTCATTAAATTTCCGTTTGGTCACACAACAAGAAAAAGGTTGTTTATTACTCATTCATCGGTTTAAACCGTTATACATTTATCATTGGGATGAAATTCGTTAATCTTACTTGACGAAAATTGTCACGTGTCCGATGGAAATCAGTGCCACACGTTGAATTGTCAAGTTAATTAAATAAATGCCTATTAAACTTATCCGTAAATTACTAATTGATGACTGAAGAAAAAAATTATTACTCATTGCTTACTTATCTATTCAAGTTATTAAACATTTATACTAATGCTAAATAAGGAAAGCATAAATTGTTTTTGATAGTTAGAGTTCGTCTCTTGAGATCTTTGAGAATTTGTTGTTTTGCAATAGAAAATTAATTTATAATTCAACATTAAATCAAAAGATTGATGAGTAGTAGTAGTTTGAATAGGTGAGTGAGCAATTCAGAGATCTAAGAATGAGTTTAATGAGTATTTATTTAATGAATTATTCTTGTTGTACATAATTTATTAAAAGTCAATCACTAATAACTATAGTTTAACTAAATGTACTTTCAACGTAATGTATTTTCATATTTAAATAACTATTAATATCTACATAATTATATTCTTTTTCCGGCTGGTATGGGCATAGTGAGGGCAGTCATGGCAGTGGGCTACAACACTCGAATTTTGTATGGAGTTTGAGCATGCAATGTTTCACTTTGGTCCACACGATAGGAGACTCAACCTATTTTGAGGTACCTAGGTTTGGATTTTGTGTTCGAAAAAATCTGTTTAGAATGGCGGACTGCCTCGATCCAAATCTCTTTGACCAACTAGGATTAAGATGAGTATGGTGTGTGTTGTATGTGATAATTCACTTATGAGTAATGCTATTTGTCGTTAGTGGTGTTTAACTAATTATCTACTTTTCCTCTTAATGAGCATAAGATCTCGGATGAATAGTGCCTCTTTAAATAAGACACTTAGAAAATTTTATGGACATGCATTCTTCTCTAGATTCAGATCTTCAAATTCCTCTTCTTCTTCTTCTTCTTTTTTTTTTTAAGAAAATATAGAAAATTCTCTCAATCACTCTAAGAGTAAATATATGATATGATCGATTAAATTGGTCAAAAAATGTAATGGATGGCTCAAATATATCGCTTATGCATGATTTGTCAGTTTCAAATAGTATTTCTTTTTTGATTGATTCTTGCTCAAACACTTCAACCACGTTCTGGTCATATTCATAGCAAAACACTGCATAAAACTTATCTTGATTCGTCTTATCATATCAAATTATGAATGAATTTACCTGGTCATTTCGTTCTAAGTTTGTAGGAAATTTTTTGACCAAGTTATATTGGTCCAGTTATTATACGTCTCAAGCCTTAACAATGAATACATGCTTGGTGAATGAATGTATGTCGAAAAAATCCACTTTTGCCAGGATAAAAATTATAATTGAGTGCAAAATAAATTTAACATTTTATAGTCTACAAGATGATTATTAAAGTGAAATTTTAAATCAAGATGATGGATCACATTTTTCCTACTAAAATTTCTTGATCCTACTATTCAATAGTTTGGCAGATATAATTAATCAAATTAATGATGGAAGCTGTCATGAAAAAGTAACATTCAATAATCTAAGTTCAATTGCCTGCTGTTTTTGTCATCCCTTCTGACACCAAACTGCTCTTATAATTTTGTGAATATTTTTCTAATAAAGCATGTTACTAAGAAATGAGGGCATGTTAATTTGCCTATGCTTAAAATATTGAACAATCAATTTTCTTTTGAACTTTTTCAATAGTATGATTATTGAAAAAGGACAACTTTTCATTTTCTAGCTAGATAAGACAAACACGGTTTTAATGCTACTGTTTGATATGCTTAGGGGTTAAATGTATGAAAGATTATTAAATTCCTCGTACTTTTGAATAGAGAAGCAGAAGTTAGTTTATGAAAGAAATAACGAGAATTGAGAAAGTCATATTTTTTAAGGATAACTAGAAAAATGGCTTCCAGAAACACTTTATTGTGATAATTATTAAAGATAAGTTGAAAAATGTATTATCGAAAATATTGAGGCGTAAACGTTGCTTTCACTATAATTTCATTTTCACATATATTTTGAATAGAGTTATAATATAGAGTCTTGAAGATTTTTTGTTATCCCAAGTGCATGTCGAGATGAAAAGCACTTTGAAATATTTTTGATTCCCCATCTTCAATTTCCTAGGGCCAAACATTGCTTTCAATCAATTCTAATTAAATTATTTATGTTTTACATTTCGAACAAATATATCTTCGCTAAGAAAAAGTATTACATAATAGTGTAATTCATACTTTGGCTTGAACTATTTAGATTTAACTTGTCCCGTGTTCAAAATGTATGAAATTTTCTTCAATGCACAGCGGTATCAATATTCAAGATTATCTAGTATGTCGGCATTTACAAACATAAGGTCTATTATGGGATATCATATGTTAGACCGGATGCACCACGTGACTTGGACAATATTTCAACCTGATCATCAAAGCACATATTTGTAAGCTTCTGCGACTTCAAGAAAATGAATGTGACACTCCAACATCATTTTAAATGTACAATTGCATAACTATTAAAATAGTATTGTAAGTTTATTTCGTTTTTTATTTTTAATTATGTTGTATGTTTCATTTTTTGTAAAAAAAAAAATTGTATACAAAATTATAATTTGTGTAAAATTTTAAATCCGCATAAATATTATGTAGTCAGTCCCAAGTTTGAATAAATGAAGAGGATTACAACTTTGTAATTCTTTTGACAAAATAATTTTTTTTTTTTTTTACAAATTTATGTCTTCATTATATTTTGAGGATGAAATTGTCAGTTTTTAGATTTAAAAAATATATAATGGTGAGCCAAAATTGGCTCGCAAGCAGGCTCAACTTGCACCACCAACGTGCGAGTTGGTGGAGCGTATTTGAAAATGAGACAGCTCATCTTGGCTCGCCCCATATGCGAGCTCAAGCTGGCTCGCTGGGTGGGTAATTATCGAATTTAACACCCTAAAATTTATTTGATTAGCAATTATCAGCTAGTATATGCTGGTCGACTAACCTGGTTTGGCATCGTAGAGTTAGACTCTTGTGAACACATTTTAATTCTAATGGGAAATATATACAAACTTCAAAATTTTAAGGGTATTGATTTGATATTAGATTTGAGTCCAAAGTCGAATAATCAATCACTAATCCGAAGAATAATTTTGAACAGCTAAAAGTGGCTCGGTTGAGGTTGAAACTCCAACAACAGACCAAAGGACATGAAAATTGTCGAATGACTCCTTCTTCAAGATTATGGACTAGTCACATCACCATTTGCACGCTTGAGTTAAATTGGTGCGCTCACACTTTGAGAAATTGAAAGAATCAACCTTTCACGTTCAACTAAACCTTGTGCTTCTATGCACCTAAACGTTTATCCCCTCAA